CCGCATATGGCCCTGCCAAAATTTTTTTCGGGTAAGTTCATAACTCGGGGATCTGAGAAGCTAGAACGCTGAAGTCCTGGGGAGATGTTCCCCGCCTAAGTGGGTAAAACCCTGCCCGCGAGTAAGCGTGGTACCTAAGTACGAGCCCGTGAAAGTAATCTGCGGGGAGCTATGCAAAAAAGCATCTTCGCACGGGCAGCCCGTTCGTTGGCCAATTATTTTAGAAGGTAGTCGCTTAGCCATTCCAACCATCGCATAAGCTGATAAGCGATGTCCAACACTCACTAATGGTTTCTGGTTCGTGCCGGAATTTTCCTCCAAGAATTTTTAATGAATGTATTTTCAGGTATATTCCAGCCGGTCCCGATACCAGAGAAATTTTGCTTGCTTTTGCGCAATCACTTACTCGCTATATGGGAAGAAACTGCGAAAAATTCTTTGATCCAGAAAACGATTACGAGCCGGTTCCTGGAAAGTCGTAACGGTCTTGGCCGATGTGCCAAGAAAGCACTGCAGTACTTATTTGCTTTGGATATTTTTCTCGTCATGTCATGCAAATTTTAGGCATCTTCTGAGATTTACTCAGCTGGGCCGCACAACGCGTACTCTTGTTCGGGCTCAGGTTCAAACCAAAAAACCAAAAATCGTGGTACCAGATTTTTTGTATAGGTGAGATTTCAGGTGTCGCGTTCAAGATTGCTAATTTTTCCTCAGCATCAGGATTCAGGCTGGACATGAGAAGTCCAAGAAGACACCGTTCACGCGTGAGCCCCTCCTCCCTGCTCCCGCTTCCTACCTCCAAGCAGTATTTTAGCTCCCTTGTAGTCAGTAACCCGTCCTTCCCCGTGTTACTGCTCTTAAGACGTGAACTACCCCTGTCCGCCATCCCCTCGCCCTTCCTCTTTCCAGTTCTATGCCTTCTTGTGTCCTTCAGTCGCTGTAACTTGATCTCCGACGCGACCGAGCCGAGCCGAGCCGAATACTAAGTAGTTGCCGAATTTCATTGTTTTCTTTTTAGGTCTTTTGTTATGCTCTTGCTTTGTAATTAGTGTATCTGTTGTAGACTTGAATACACATTCATTGCTTTCAAGTGTTATTAGAAAGGTGAAGACCTTGTGCACCCCGGGAGTTTTTTTTAAATGTTTGCCGGGTATTTCTATGCTCTCTTTCTACATTAAACTGTGGCTTTTTTTCCGAATGTTATTGATACGGAAAAGTTTGGAAAGATCATTGTTAAGTGAACTAAAAAACCACATAGCCAAGAAGAATGTGATGATAATGCTTTACAAAAAAGCGGATAGCAGGTGAACCTTGCCCATGGCACTATTACCGTTTTAGTCTCATTACTCCATCGACAAACTGAACGGAAAATTGAAAGTACTGCTGCAAGCAGTGCAGAAATTTCAAAATCTGAACATTTTGTGGAGGGATATTCAATAGTTCTAATGGAAAACAAGGGAAATTTGAGCGCAATAGTTCCTGTGTTAATATGCAGTGCTATGAAGCATAATGCTCAAAAAGTACGTTTTATTTAATTGGAAACAAGGAAAATTTGAGCGCAACTTAAAACAAGCTACCGGCAGTGACCTGCTTCTTTCAATGCACAGTGGGCCAAAACTGTAGAGGCTTTGCAACTTTTCCCGCACTGAGAAAACCAGATAAAGTATGAAAGCACGAAAAAGATCGGCTTTCCTTAGCCGCCTTCGCATCGAACTCACAAGGAAAATGGTCGGGCGCGTGTTTCGTCGACAGTGAGGAGCTCAGTGCTGCCGGCTAGTCCAAAACGTAGAAAAAAACCTTGTTCTGTAAGGCCGTGTTATTAATGTGCCAGAAATCTGCGTTCCATTTCGTGAGAATCCAGACTGGAAAGCACCAGACTTGCCAGTGCGACTGTGTGTTTTTGCGCTAAATTTGCAGATCGCCAACAGCAGGAATGGTCTTTACGCTGTAGTTTAACAC